TTTAGTCTAATCAGCTCAGACATTTAGTTTCCTCTTAGTTTCCTTAGTTTCCCTGCGGCGTCCAGGTGCAAAATGCCTCACCCTAAATGTTTCTTTTAAAAGCATTTATAAGTCTGTGAAGTGGGCATTTGAGAGTAATATGATCAATTAGTATAGGAAATCGCACTACCTTGAGTACAATTTGGAATTAATAATCACGAGTAATGTCTTGAAAGTTCTTCGTAATTGCATGAGGCCGATAGATAGGGCGAGTGCAATTTGAGAACTTTCAAACATTACTCGTGACTATTAATTACAAATTGTACGAGAGGTTGTGCGATTTTTTGTTTATAGTACATTCAGTAAAAACAATGATAATGATAATGTAATGATATTATTAGTATGAAACACACGTTATGACCATAATTAATGCGCGTTGATTCGAATTTTTTTCTTTGAAGTTGGTTTTCATTCCATAAATTTTGTTGATGGAAACTAAAATACGAAGTGTTTAAAAAATATATTAATAGCATATTTTAATTTTGAAAGTACAAGAATATAATGAAGTAAAAAGCCATTCAAGTTTGTTTTACGTAATTTTGACAAAAAGCGACAGCAACGTTTTCAGTGATGCTTTTTATATTGCTAGAGTCAAAAGTTCTCAAAAATCACTTAAATATTGTGAAAAAAAAAATACAGTTTTTTCATGACAAGTTAATTTTCATGCAGTCTCACTGTAAAACTTTGTTTCAATTGAAACTGAATCACAAGAGAAATAATCACAAAAAGAAAAAAAAAACACAGCTTGTTGTGTATAATACTTAAAGAGTAAGAAAGATCATCGCATTTTTAATTTTCTGATTATTTTATATTTGTACCATGGTAAATAAGTATGGTCAAGTATTATTTTGTTTGAAATTGCTTTTTTATCTCTTTAAAATATTGATCACTAAACGAGCGGCAAATTACACTAATTTGCAAAAGTATTGTGAAGCTGTGGCAGTCGGAAAGTTGCGAATCATTGTTTTAAACATACAGATTTAAAATTATCATTATACTAGCTAAAAACGTTTGTTAACTATCACCAAATGTTTGATTGAYGAGGGGGCAGGAATATTTTGCCATTTTAAACCTCGAAAAAGCGATTTCCAGCACTTTTAGGGACGGCTTCGAGATTATACTTTATGAATYTATTGTAGCTACCTCTTTCAAAGGTATGGAGACATTTTTAGAGCATAYTGATACTTTTTCACATTTCTAAAGAAGAAAATTAAAAGAAAAACAATAGTGTCAAAAAAAACAACAACAAAAAATTCGTGAGAGATGGGGATGGCTGCAGATTCCAATTCATGACCAAGCAATTACGGCAAATCCACAGCCAGTTTCTCCTTAGAGTTTTTTTAGTAGTTAATGCATGATTTCATTGTTTCATAGGAAAATGTTCTTGTTTTGTGCTCGGACTTGTAGGATCGCACATTAGTTTAATGTCTCTAATTAACCTTATCCAATGGGAGTCGAGAATATAGATGGCTTTTTTATCATTCGCGTCTGTGATAAATTTCTTAAATGGCGACAAAATTAAACAGTTAGCATTTGCGAGTTAGACAGCAGTTGGTTTTAAACTCAAAAAGGGTAAGYTGGATTTCTCTAACAAAATTAACACTCAAGTCGACAGGTAGGGTGGTTCGTTTTCTTCTTCTTCTTCGCATTGTTGTTCCTGTTCTCCAGTTCTTCTTTGTTATTCTTCCTCCTTTTTCGTTTTTATTTTTTTTATGAGTCAGTCTCAAATGGTTTGCACTGTGTATGTCATTTCGTCAATCACATTTAAAATATAGCAGTAGTTAACGACAATATTGTTTTTATTTCGCAAATGAATTGTTTTCGTGAGTTTTGTATAGAAAGTTCTTTTTAAAGTTACAGTAATCATATGGATGATATGGGAATATGAAGTTTTAGCTTAAAATTGAAGTTGAAATCTGACTATTGATACAGTGCGAAGACTCGGTTAGATTTAGTCTAATCAGTTCAGAAATTTAGTTTCCTTGTATCTCCATGAATGCTTTTCGTATTTCTATGACTTTGTGTAACGCCATAGTGAGAATTTTGTATGTCCCTGGGCGTCCCAGGTGCAAAATACCTCACCTTATTTTTTTCCTTTAAAAGCATTTAGTCTGTGAAGTGGACATTTGAGAGTAATATGATCAATGAAAGCCTAACATGAAAACAGCTAAGCGACGAACTGTTGTTATGATTATCGCTCGTCACCATTCTACGATCTGATCACAATAGATATCAAAGTCCAAAAGCCGTTAGACGGGGGTTCTATTGCGTGTAATGGAGTTCCATCGTGCTTTGAGAGGCCAACACATTCCGAGTCGAAATTGCTGCAGTGACGCGATTTCTGATCTAAATTCTTTCAATCGAAAATTACAAGAAATTACAGAAAGCTTTTTGATATCATGCTTCAGAATTGTACTRTAAAGATCGCATTTTTAATCAACATCACTAATAAAACGTTTATTATTCATTTGGGAGGTCGTTTTATGGCCGTTTTTATTTCGAAAAATTGAACACTGTTTTACCTTGTAAACCTGTGATCTATTTGTCAGAATATTCATGCTTCATTCGGGCATACTACTCCCTAAATGCTTTTCAAGGATTCTAATGTTATAATGTTATAAGTATGGACTTTGAGAAGACCAAAAACCAAGCAGGAGACTCTAGAAGATTCTTTTCCAGAGGCACTGTTTTTCGTCAAGAAAAATATCTTTCTTGATATAGTTGTCTCCTTGGAAAAGCTGACTGCCCACCTAATTCTTGAGACTTMAATTGTACAAAATGTTAACATTTTTGTTTTCTATTGTCTAATCAGTATCATGTTAACAACAGTTGGTACTWTCAGTATATTTCACGTCAACTCTAGCCACAGGATAAACACGAATCAAACCCTTGAAATAGATTATACACATTCTTTTATGTATTTGTTGATCACAAAAGTCAAATTTTGTTTCACGGGTTTAATGACTTGACGCTATTGATGAATTAATCTTCTTTTGATGTATGGTCCAGCAGATACAAAATGGCGTCAATGAACGTTCTTCTTTTTATCRCGTGTCTACTTCTCTTACATCAAGAAGTTGATGCCCA